GAAATGCAAGGAGAGTTTGGCCGGGTGGATGGAGAGGAGGCAGGGGTCATGCTTGGTAGCCTGTGGGTGAACCCTTACTGGTTAGTAATGGCCTGTTTGTGCTTTTTCTTTCGAAAGAAACTAGAATAAAGGGCCTGTGATTAGGTGATGGTTTCAGGGAGTGGATGAGTCCTCTTCCCTAGGCTCCTCTCTGGATCTCTGGAAAAACAGCCACAGGCAAGACTCAACTCAACAGCAGGTCTGTGGCAAGTCCTGATGTCCCTGGGACTGCCCAATTAGCAGAAGCCTTCCGTGCCTGTTCCCACTGTCTCTCTGGAGGCCTCTTCTCAGCTGGGCTCCCTTCCTCATGCTTTGCCAAAGGACTGCTCCAGTGGCTTCTCCTCATTGGTACGTTGGTACTTTCTTTTGTTCCCAAGACACCCCTACTCCAGCAGTGTCCTATACACCCATCTTCTGGTGCCCCCTTATGTGAGGGCATGCCCCATCCCCTTGCTTCCTTTTCCTAAATCTTCTTTGAAGCCCCTTTGGCCAAGAAAGAGCTATTTGCCATCCATCCCGGGGCAGTTCCTTCTCCTTCCCTTTTATTCTGTTATAAGTTAACAATGAACTTCGTTTACCTACCATAAGGTGAAACCCTTCAGACTGCAAGACCAAAGGAAGAAACTCCTACTGCTGTCAACCCTCCATAAAAGTGGCTAATCAGATCAAGGACTATTGATGAAACTGAGCCCCCCCCACCCACAAACCCCTCACGTGCATACCAGTCTGCCAGTGTGCTGTTGTGCCGTCCCTCCCATAGGACGAATCTGACACTTAACAGAGCCAAGCATTTTGCTCTTGGGATGGAGCTGGAGTAAACACCATGCTTTTCACATGGATCACAAAGAGGTTTTCTGATGGAGCCAGCGTTCTGAGTAATAGAGGCCTGCCAGTATTTTTTTTAAAGGTACATTGTAATACACTCACACTAAAACCTTATGAATAAATTCTCCCTTCATTTTTATTCAGGAAGGTGTCTCTCAATTTTGTGGTCTTGTGGGATCATGTGTGGCCTCTTTGGTCATTGGTGAGTAGCTGGGCAGAGGGTCTGGGTGGCCCACTGTGCCGATGGAGTCAGGTGGTTAGGGACGCTCCACAGTGAACAGCCTGTGTGAGGCACCTGATCGTAGCCATAGCATTCTTAGTACTGATCTCTTAGGGAAAGGAAAACTGTAAAAGCTACCTTTAAAAAATTAATAGACTTTATTTTTTTATTTTATTTTATTTTTATTTATTTATTTTTTTTAAAGATGACCGGTAAGGAGATCTTAACCCTTGACTTGGTGTTGTCAGCACCACGCTCTCCCAAATGAGCCACGGGCTGGCCCTAGACTTAATTTTTTTAGAGTAGCTTTAGATTTACAGAAAAATTGAACAGAGTTCCCACATATCTGTCCCCCTCTCCCACATTTTTCCTTATTATTAGTATCTATGTTAATGGGGCACATTTGTTACAACTGGTGAACCAGTCTGGATACACTGTTATTAACTAAGGTCTATATATTTACATTAGGGTTCCCTCTCTGTGTTGTGCACATCTATGGGTTTTGACAAATGTTGATGTCATGTATCCACCATTACAGTATCACATAGAATAATTTCACCATCCTAAAAATCCTCTGTGCTCCACCTGCTCATCCCCTCCTTCCTCCCGCCTCCACCCCAACCTCTGGCAACCACTGATCTTTTTACTGTCTCCATAGTTTTGCCTTTTTCCAGAATGTCATATAGCTGGAGTTTTATAGTAGATAGCTTTTTCAGACCAGCTTCTTTCACTTAGAAAAATGTATTTGAGATTCCTCCGTGTCTTTTCATGACTTGAGAGGTAATTTCTTCTTATTGCTGAATATTCCACCATCTGGATACACCACAGTTCGTTTATCCATTCACCTATTAATGGACACCTTAGGTACATCCAGTTTGGGGACATAAAGCTATGGAAGAAGCTGATGTAAACATTCACGTTCATAAGTTTTCCACTCATCTGGATGGGTAAATACCTAGGTAAAAGCGACTCTTTTTTTTGGCGCCTTAGTGTGGCTTCCATTCTTCCCAGCCAAAGAGGCTGCATTTCGCTTGAGACACACTATGGCCTTCCTTTAGATTTAAATAGCGCTGCCACTATAATCAGTTTTCACAGAATCACAGTTTAGCTATTGCTGATGCACTATTTTGTGTGTGTATCGCGTGTGTTTTGAAATTACTGTATATGCTTAAATAGAAGTCAGGCTTATCAGAAAAGAGGAAGCACCGTACAGAGTCCTTGCAAATCTCTCATATGATGGAAGCACAGTATTAATGATTTTATTTTCAACAACTAAGTACTTATTAGAGAAGACACGTTGACCTTTAATTCACTGATGAGTTTGGGTGCTCTAGAAGTCACTGAGACAAAGATATTTTATGTGGCTTTAATAATAACTTCTAGAAGTATGGCCTCACAGTTGCAACAGTTTGATAGACCACTCTAGAAACAATTTGCTGAGTGAGTAATTTATAGAATTTTAAATGGGTGCTTATGGTTTGGAATAAGATTTCCAGCAAGTGCCTCATACACAGATTCAAAAAGTGCTTTATCTCACAAATCCAGTTAAATGAAAGATCATGTTATACTGGAAACATTGCACAGTGACTCAAAGAATTATCCTGGTTCTTCCTGTGACAAGTTTGAATAAAATTGTTTCATGAAATGTGAGGGTCTGGAAACAAATATTTCTAAAATTAATTATATTAACTTTTTAGTATAAGCTCCTAAACAGGATGGTGCAGCTTCATAGATATAGTATAGCAATTTGATAATTCTATTGCATTCCTAACAATTATGTTTGGGTTTTCCAAAATGCTTTTTCTGAGGGGCAAGTTCTTCTTTTTGGGAAAACGTGGGGTTCGCCTCACATTTGCTGTCACCCTGTATTTGGACATGTGTTTTAAAGGTGACATAGTTTGGCAGTATTCTGTGTATCGTTTCATTTGAACTCAAGTGAAAGTATACAATTCTTCCCACTTGTGAGTGCATTTGGATTGGGGAATTTATATTCTTCAGCTGCAAGTTTTAACACAGATCTTTTTCTCATCCAAGTGGCCAGCCCTAAGGCTACCAGCAACCTTTCAATTTTGAATTCATTGGACACTTATTGGAGCTCACCTCTTCCCTGCATTTGATTCCTTAATTTTCCTTTCTATCTTGAAATCCCACCCTTGGTTGTTCCCCTGACAACAGCCTCACTGGTTCCCGTGACAACAGCCTTGCTGGCTTCCCTCCTGTCTCCCTCACTGTTCTTCCCAGTCTTTTGTGAATGTCGGTGTTCCCCGCCAGCCTCTTGTCCTTGGTCTTCCCCCCTCCCACTCTCTACCCTCTCCCCGGCGATCTCATGTCCTTTCAGGGCTTTGGCTTCTGCCTGTCCTGATGTTGAAAATTGGTAGTGCAGGCTCTGTCTTGCCTGTAAGGATGGCCCGCACAGTGCTGTTGTTTTAAATGTGAGTTTGTTGCCAGCATTTAAAAATCGACACCAAATCCAGATTTCTGACTTCTGTTGTGAAATGGAATGAGCTGGCAGTACTGGGACTGAGCTGTGAGCGACTGTCAAACAGGGCAGCACTGTCCTGTTTACCACAGACAGTCCTAGATACTGCTTCCTTTTGTTCTGGACATTGATGTAGTGTATCAGTTCCCATTTTTGTGTTATCATGATTATGTTATTCAATTCCTTACAAAAGAGGTGAGCAGAAAAAAATATTTCTCTTGCCCATCTCTCTCTATTCACAAGTGGGAAAATAAAAGCTGGACAAAGAATGGTGTGTTTCAAAACAATCGAAGAGAACGTATACTTTCTTTTCTTTTTTTAGTGGAAGAGAACGAATATTCTTACATAATTAGTAGTTAAGGTGTGTCTGAATTGACCTGCTATAATTTAAGATGCCAGAGCTCATAATCATTGATCTAGATGGTTTTGATAACCAAATATATTCCTTTGCCCAAATATATGCTTTTGTTTCTGAAATCCAAAATGATCTCTTTAGTAATCTAGATATATTGGTCTTTACCAAATACATGCTTTTGTTTCTGAAATCCAAAATGATCTCTTTAGTAATCTAGATACGTTGGTATTTACCAAGTACTTAGAATATGCAAAGGTACTGGGGTAGAGTGGTAAGTAAGGCAGGAGTATCCCCTGCCCTCCAGGAGCTTACAGTCAGCTAGCACAGATACCACAGGCACCTCACACTCAGCATGACCCTGAATGCATTTCTCCCACCCACTGCCTCCTGTTACCTCAGTGTCAACTAATGGCATCTCCCATTATCTGATTAGCAATCTTCCTCCCATCTGCAAACTTACTTCCCTTTGGCCATGTAATATTAACATACACTCTGGCGTAACACCAGGGATTAGGGCGATGACATCTCTGGAGTCCATTATTCTGCCCACGATAGTATCTGCTTGCCAGATTAATTTATTATTACCTGCCAATTGTCATAACACTTGGGGTCCAAGTATGGAGGGCCTATTAAGTCAGCTTTCAATTTACTTTTTAAAAACTGCTTTCCCAAATCTGTTGTTCACTCTGGCTGATGCTCAGCTCACAGTATCACAAATCCATGGCCAGTTTGTATCTCCCTGACTGTTCAGGCAGCGTCTGTCTGGAATGGTCCGTTCTGTGCTGTCCTGACCCTGCTTCTGTTGACCATCCAGTTTTCAGTTTAGGTCCCAGTTCTTCTGGAAGCTTCTCATGATTCCTTCTGCCCTCTTTGCTGTCTTCTCTGAAATCCTTTAGCTTTTATAGTCTATGGTGATTAATCGTATCATATCTTATAAATATTTACTTATTGATTGAGTTTGGGCAGAAAGCTTTATGGGTTGGTTGAAAGTGGCTCTAAAACAGTTCATTTCCCTTCAGAAGCAAAATGTTATTCTGCTGTTTCAAATGCTTATCTGAAATGTGTGGTTTTGTTTATTTCAGAGACTTGAAGATAGAAAATTTGCTACTAGATGAAGACAATAATATCAAGCTGATTGGTATGACTTTTTTTTTTAAAGCAAGATTATCTTTTAAATGTTGTGTTGTCAATTCTCAACTTCGAAAATTATCTATGGTCTATATCTAATTCCCAGTCAATACTTCTAGATCACTTCCTTTTACCTCTGACATTTAATAATGGTTTTGAAAATAAAAATTATTTTAAATAGTAATTTAATAATTTAATTATAATAATAATTTAAACATAATTAGGAAGGTAAAAATACTGTAATGTGACTATACAATGAATTTCAAAGCCCCAAATAAATATTTGTTGGTCATGTGTTTCTTTGGATTATTCAAACTACAGCTTTTCTGTAAATTCAGATGGAGCTGACTTTTATACAGGTTATTTTTATCTGGATTCACCAGAAAACTTCTTAGAAATAGTGGGAAATAGTTTGGCTCAGAAAAGCTGCCCATAGCTTTATCATGTCTTATTTCACTTTTCAATGAATGTAGAGGTGCCCAAAATAAGGGGGAATGCAATTTATTTTCCCTTTTTAATACTGTCTTTATCCAAGCCCTGTGGTACAGTGCTGGCTGTTCAGAGAAGTCCCCACAAAGGGATAATCAGAAATCTGTACCAATTGGAAGGAAACTCTAGGACAGAAAGTCGTAACTGGTTTGTAATTCAGGTCCATAAGTGAATTCACTCTATGGATCCCTCTCTAGAAGAATTCTACAGATTTTTTTTTTTTTTTTTTTTTTCCTGTGTGGCTGCTCTTGGCAGAATTTCAGGGCATCATTTTTTTACTAGACAGTACCATCTTTTATTCCCCCCCCCCCTTCATAAGCATGTAATTTCTTCCACCTCAATGCCTTGAAAAGACTGTATTTTGGTTAAGGGTTTGGATCCTCATACTGGCCAGTTGCCTAAATAAATAAATAAATAAATAAAGCAAAAGAGTAAATTGGACTTTATAGGGAAAAAGAGAAGGATCAATAGAACTTGGTGAATTTAACTTTTGTACCCGAGGTAGAACTTTTGTTTGGCAAATACCGAAAATCATCTTAAGATTTTCAAATATATATCATTCATATGACTTATCAGACACCTTGGAATCACAGTTCCCAACCCAGGGGCAAGAGGCTGCAGGGACTCCAGACCCCTTGGCTGGGAGATTAAGCACCTTTGGTAGGTGTCAGTGGATATGCCCATTATTAGAAGATTGCCAATGAAGAGAAAACCCATTTTTTCCCCCAAAAGCGTTTTGAAGAATTTATTCTTAGACAATTCGAATGATTTTCTTTTTGTTAAACTGTCTTACTGTCTCATTTTAGTTGTCCTGAGAGCCAGCACAGAAGCAGTCAAACAGGCACTGTTGAAATGCTTGCAGTATCTTTCTGGTTCTGGTTTCTGGGGTCTGTGGAGTTAAACAAAGGAGCCTTCTGGTGGGGGGTGAGGAATAAAGGAAAGAGGAGTTTTTGAGGTTGGCTGGCTGGCTGAGCTGTAACTTGTCTTTGGAAAATGGGGAGGTGACAGTGAAAGAGCAGTCCTAACAGCAGCAGAGACCGTAAGGGAACAGGCTCTGGAATGGCGGACTTACACTACAGGAGGTTAGAGTCTTCGGCTTCCGCTGGCACCACGTAGACCGAGGCTGCTGAGCCGAGCGAACGGCGGTTCGAATCCCAGCGCAGCTTTCCTGCGCGTCTGTCTGCCGCGGGGCGTGCTCTGTCCTTTCTCCTCCAGTGAGAGCCCTACACGGCCATTTATAAAACCGTCCTGTGGAATAAGCAGTGTTGACAAGCACAGACTTATTTTTTTGTCTTTTTTGTGACCAGTAAGGGGATCACAATCCTTGGTGTGGTGTTGCCCGCACCGCGCTCAGCCAGTGAGCGCACCGGCCAGTCCTATATAGGATCCGAACCGTGGCGGGAGCGTTGCTACTCTCCTGAGTGCGCCACGGCCGGCCCAAGCACAGACTTTTTTATTTTTATTTATTTATTTTTTTTAATTTTTTTTTTCCTTTTTGTCTTTTTTCATGACCGGCAACGGATCGCAACCCTCAGTATTGCGCCCGCACCTCGCTCAGCCAGTGAGCGGCCGGAGCACAGACATTTTTAATGATTAGTGTTTGCTTAGAAGGTTCTGGAAGAACCAATCACTGTAAACAGCGGATGCGTTTATAAGTAACTCACAGATTGGCCCTAGTATTAAACCTCTTTGAGGAGGAGGAAGGGGAAGAAATTATTTACCGAAATTAGAGCCCACGGTTCCCCTGAGGTGAGTGTGGTGGTTGCTCTTTGGAAGCCGGGAACTGTTTAGTTTCAGCCTCTCAGCTGGCAACCGCGGGACAGGTCACCGGGACAAAATAGGCCCAGCCAGAAACCAGTGGTCAGAAAGGAGGTTTCCCAAAACTGCTAGAAAGGAGGCCCTGCTGCTTGGATTTGCCTTTACTGGAACTCTTAGCTTCCGTTCCCCCAGGCCCACCTAAAACTCGAGGGCTCTACCGCTCCCTGTAATTGGAAGAGACCCCACACCTCCCCCAGGGCGGTGGGAACGGCGCTTGTGCAGCAGAGCCTGCGTTCCCCCATTTCAGAGGGAAGGAACTGGGGCAAGAAGGGCCAGTGTCTTTGGGTTTTCTTGCCTTTGGGTTGGGCAATTTGGATCAAAGGTCTCTACTGTCTTTTCATAACTTGAAAGCCCTTTGAACTTCCTCTTCTTTAAAGGAATTACCTAGTTGTTTTTCAAAGGTGATTATAGCTATTATTATTTCCTCTTAGTAATTTCCCTTTCTTTGAAAGAATTTGGTTTAAATAAATCTACTTAAGCCGTGTTTCAAATTCACTAAAATTATCAGGAGTAAGATTTGATTTCATCGGAATTTTTTTTTCTTTCAAAAAAAGCAGTCTGATGTTTGGTAAGGTTAGTATAATCTTAAAACGGAAGAGCCACAACTTAGAACATTTTTTTTTCCCCTTTACTCGCTCTCAGCAAGACTTAGAACAGTTTTGCACATCAGTATTCCAAAGCAAAGCAGCGTTCACTTGGGCGTTTTTTGAGATTCATTTTGTAGCTCAGAAAATTGAGTGATAATTGGCTTATGAATTTACCAAATCGAATTGAGACAAACATGTGTGACATTAATGGGAGGCGGACTTCTCTCTAGTTTCACAATTGTAGTTATAGGCATATGTGTAAAATTTTAGAAATTACAATTTTGAATGTGGAAAGTCCTGGATATTTCTCTAAAAGATACTTTAAATCAAACCCTTTTGGCTAGATCAACATAAGTCACTTGAAATGCAGATTCTATCTCCTTCACTCCCCCAATTCTCTGCTAATTTATCTTCTTGAAACTGTGGTTACGATAAGGCCAGACTCTGTGTTCCTAAACTTGCCTGGGACAGTAGTGGGTGAGCTGGTTTCTTATCTTCCTTTGCCTGCCCTCTTCTGCTAACAAGTCCTTCTTTATGGTCCCATGTGGGGGAGTTGAGGAAGTGAACTGAATGAGCCAGTCCTTTGCTGTTAAGGGAGCCCTGCTGAGATTAGGAACAGAGTTTTGTGCTTTCATCTCAGAACTTGAGAGATACATTTTCTGTGACTCATATGAGATCAGGCCTTAAACATGACCATTCATGAAGCTTTCCTTAAAATGTTGTCCCAGATAATATCATCTTTATTCTATGGTGCTGTGTCTCTGTTTTCCTATAGTAGGTGAGCTTTATGCATTTTTTGGTTCATTAAAACTCGTTTAGGTTGATTTGCAAACCAAAAGCAATGAAACAGTCCTCCAATGTACAATGTAATATGATTTTTCTTCTTATAAAAATATTCACCCCTCTTTTTCACTTTAGTGATATTTCAGAGTGGAGTCTGAGAATAGGATCCCTCAGGGTTTTTTTGTTTGTTTTTTAATTCTTTTTTTTTTTTTTAACAGATATTTCTTCCTAAGATGGGAATTCAGAAACACCTACTCCCTTTCCCTCCATGGCTCCTGAATGGCTTTTCTGTGCAGGGGGTTTTGTGTCTACTGGCTGGTGGGAAGAGTAAGGGAAGAGAGGAGGAGGAGGGGGCTTAAGAGAGGAAAGCAGAATCATAAAAAAGACAAAAGAGTTCAGTGTTTGAACATGTAGCATTCCCAGGTGGTTTGTCTGCCAGTCCCAGTTGTAGCTTCTGATTCTTCTTCCTCATGGAGTTTGGCTGATCTTCCAAGACTTAAAGAGTTTTCAGAGCTCTTGCTTGGATGGGGTTCTCTTTCGAGAAGCTGTTTCATCACGCAGCTTAACCCAGCGACTGTTGGAACACTTCCTAGTTGCATCACCTGGATCTATGGTGTGCGGGTAATGTCGTGAAGTCCCAGCTCTGCCCTGTACCGTGTTTCTTCTTCCCTGTGCTTTCTTATAGATTTCTTAACAGTCATGCATTTGCAGGTGGAGACATGTTAGAGTGAAGGAGAAAATACAATAATGAAACTAGACATAAATAGTGCTGATTGTTCAAGACTTGGAGTCAGTCCCTGCCTGAGTCCTGCAGCCTCAGAGTTTTCTGTTTAGGGGAGAGGACCATAATATTTACATTGAAGTTCAAAGGACAACCGTGATCTTAATTCTGTGATCAACAAAGATTGAGGAAAGATATCAGATGAGAGCATACCACTCACAGCTCTCTAATTACCTGTCAGTGCAGTATCTTTAGGATCAAAAGTAAACACAGCACAAAAGGCATAATAGACCCAAAGTAGCTTTAGATGCTCTGGGCTTTTCTTTCCTCTTTCCAGTTGCCTTAATCATCCCAGAACAAAGCAATGCCATGAGGTCACTTAGTCTAGTTGGCGTTGCCTTCTTTCCGGTGTTATTTTTCCAGCCAACATTCAGGGTTGTCTAAATTGTTGGATGTATTTTCTCCCTCTTCCAATCACCACATGTGCTGCATATATTTGGGGGGTATTTTTAAAAGAGTGTCATGAAATGAAAACATTCAGCTGAAGAAGTCAACTGTAAATGACTGGATCACATGTCACCGAGGTTGACGCAGACAACTAGCCAGAGAAAATAAATCTTCCTTCAGCTGTTCCCCGCACGGCCGCGTGGAAACCGCAAGGCCAGCTCCAAGCTCCACTGCTTGTTCTCTCTTCCTGCCTTAGTCCTAGAAAGCAAACCCTCTCCTTTTCCTGGATGACTCGTTTACAAGACTTGATGAAAATATGTTTTGGTTCAATGTACCGCTAGCTCTAGCTAGATTTTACCGTGCAGCCTGACATAAAATGTTCCCAGTTAAGCCAGAGAACCACCACCTGACACTGTTTGTGCCGAGACTCATATCCAGAGGTTATGGCTTGCAGCTGCCAGGTTTTCCTCTTGGATGCTAAATTATGTGTGAGCGGAGAGAATATTTCCTTTCTGGATGCCTTTTTCTTTTCTTTTCTTTTTTCCTCCCTTTCCATTTCCGCAGTTTCTAATTCAGAGCCGGTTTTGTCCTCCCCTCTCTGCAGACTTTGGTTTGAGCAACTGCGCGGGAATCCTGGGCTACTCCGACCCGTTCAGCACGCAGTGTGGCAGCCCCGCCTATGCCGCGCCTGAACTTCTCGCCAGGAAGAAATATGGCCCCAAAATTGATGTCTGGTCCATGTGAGTTCTCAAGCTTATAAAAGTGAACGTTCCCTCCTGCTGTCTCCACTGTTCTGTCTTATGAAGTTGAGCTTGAACATTTGATGAGAATATATTACACGGTGGGCTCTGGAGTACACAATCAGTGGTGCTTTGGGACCTGGTTTTCCATCTTTGTTCCTTCTAGTCTTTTCTGCACACACTGTCAGAGTGGCCTTTGCCAAATTGATTGAGGTGTTAGGGAGAGAAGCAAAGTCTGCCCTCACAGAGCTCATGTGGTGGTGTCATGAATCTCTCGTGTCCCACTCCTGCTTCAAATCCTGCCGTACCTCCCCATCACCCTCAGAACACCTTGGTCTTGGTGGCCGGCTTGTGCTCTCCACAGGACTTCCTGCCCACTGTCCTGCCTCTTTGCACACTGTCCCACCCTCTGCTCACGAGTCTTCAGACATGCTGGCCTCCCTTTTGTCTCTCTCACCTCTGGGCCTCGTACTTGCTCTTCCCTTTGCCTAGAATGCCATTCCCATCTCTTCAAACGACCTGCCCATTTCCACATTCCAGTTTTAATCCAGTTGGCACCACTGCAGAGACCGTCTCTGAGTTCCCTGCCAAAGGGTCCCCCATACTCTCTTCTCACCCCTTTTAATTTCCTCTTTAGCACCTGTCACTGCCTATCATTTCCTGTCTGTAAATCCGTTCATTGTCTGTCTTCCCGTTTGTGGGAGGATGCCGCATGAGGGCAGGGACCTTATTGTTGTGGGTCACCATTTTATTCCCAGTGTCCAGAACAACAAGGGCCACTAGGGGAAAATGCAGCAATTTGAAAGTGTGAATCACCGGTTGCCCCAGAGGTATCAGGCTTGCTAAGGCTCTGGCCATGGAGCCCAGGCCCCTCAAGGTCCTGGTGAGCGAGCCCCTCCCCTTGCACTGTATGTGGTGTGACAGTACAGGAGCTGCGTAGTGTCCTGCATCCCGGGGTAGGCCTGAATTCCTTGCCATGGGGAAGTGAGCTCTAGATGGACAGAGTGAGAGCCTGATAGAGACAGGACAGACACCGGAGATGACAGGTGCTAATTTGAATGAAGGGTGGGTTGATCCGAAATATTTCTGGATTCCCTTGCCTCTCTCCATCTTCACTACACTTCCCTTGTCCAGTATGGCAGAAAAGTCAACCTTTGCTAAATGCTTGGTGGATGCTGGACAGTCTGTCATTTCATTTTCATAATAACTTAGTGAAATTGTTGTACTCTGTTATCCCACTTTACAGAAGAAGAAACTGATCATAAGAGGAATTAATAAAATTGCCCAAGGTTGCAGAGCTGCTGCTTGGTGGAGCTGGAATTTGAACCAAGCAGTGTCCTTCTAGGGTTTCAAGAGAAAGTACCCTCTCTGGAACATGGTGTATGAGGACCTTGCTCGGCCCTGTGGCCTCATTGAAGCCGTTCTCCCTCACCCTCTCCCCCGAATCCATTTTCCAGCTGACTCAGCATTGGGTCCTATTCCTTACACACAGCCTGCTTCTGCTAGATTCCCGCCCTTGCACCCACAGTTCTTTCCACCTGGAATTCTTTTCCCTGCTCCCGCAGCTGTCCCCTTCCCCTCTAGTTCTGTTGGATCCAGTTCCCCTGGGCAGCCCTCCCTGCCTCCAGTCAGCTGACTCTGAGATCCTCTGATGTCCTCTCTGGCCACCTGCTCTCTGCTTTCCTGGACTTCACCATGTGGTCATTGTTCACCTGTTGGAACCCCCTGGGCTGCAGCTGAGGGTGCTCTTGGTCATTCCCTGGGATTCATCTGCATCTAGCACAAGGCCTGGACAAAAGAGGAAGGGAAGGAGGAAAGAGGGAGGGAGAAGGAAGGAAAGGATAGGAGGGAGGGACAGGCATTTCACTCAGGCAGACAGAAGCTGGAAGGTCAGGGGTGAAGCTGGTGGAGAAAGCAAGTAGAGGCCTGTGAACCAGCTCAAGGGTCTAGAAGTGAGAGGAATTTAGGACCCTCTGGTTGGAGAGTGAGAGGAAGCAGAGGCCAGAACAAGATGCTGAGGGATCCAGAATTCCATGAACTTTCCCAGAAAGGGCCAGCTCTCCTGGAATCCAGGTAGGAGGACTTGTCCTGTCAGTAAGGGGGTGAAACAAGTCAGAAATCAGCCTGAGTGCTCTGGTTAATCATCCCCTTTCATCCTCAGGACAGTCCTGAGAGGCACGGCTCTCCCCCATTTGCATAGATCGAAGCAAGGCTCAGCATGGTGAGTGAGGCCCAGAGGCCCACACGCAGCCTGTAAGCGGTGGAGCTGCACTTGGCCAAAGCCTGAGAGTAGGGTGCAGGCTGCAGATGGACAGCTTGTGGTCCTGGTGTGCTAATGACCCTGCGTGGAGTGGGTGGGAGCGGAGCAGTGGCAGAGGCCGCCTTCTCTTGGAGGTGCCCTGGAGTGTTTGGTGGGCATTGCTATTCACAGACTCTTTTTCTGCTATGCCCAGAAGGACTTCAGAATCCTCCTCAACACAGCCCTCCAGGCTGCCAGTAGCAATGGATCAGCGTCAATACATGAGATGATATCCATTCTTGGTTTCTTCTAACACTTAAGAATTCTCATAAGTGTCTGGCATACCGTCTTCCCTCAATAAATATTTACTGAGTGGATGAATATGAATGTTTGAGTCTATAGCCACCTTCTTAGCAGTTAGGGAACTCATTTATGCTAAATGGAAAGCTAAGAATGGGAGAATTTGTGCACTGAAAAAAGAAAAAAAAAGAAGGCTGGCTGGTTAGTTCAGTTGGTTAAAGCATGGTGCTGATAACATTAAGGTCCAGGGTTTGATTTTTGTACTGACTAGCTTCCAAAAAACAAAGAAACACAAACAAAAAAAAGGCTGTGGGAGCCTGAAAGACCAGGAGATCCTCCGTGGGTATCATGTGGCTGTGGTGACAGGGATGGCAGGAGACATAATGACCAAAGTCAGTAGATTGAGAGCAGGTGACAGTTTGCTCCTGAGGTCCTGCTTTTGAGGGGACTGGATAATACCATACTGTTCCCATTTGTCACAGAGATGAGGCTCAGCCTGTGGAAGGGGACCCTTTCCAGACATGTCTGGCAAAGCAGGTGTCTCCTCCAAGCCTAGAACCTCTTGTGGAGGAAGGAGATGTGTGGGTGATTGGAGCCGTAGGGGGGGACCTGGGCTGAGGCTCATGAGGAGTGTCACAGCACTCATACTCAGCATGGGACTTCTGTCCCCTCCGGCTAACTGTGACGTGGGAGCAAACCATTTATCCTCTCTGGAGAAATAGAAAGGGAGATGAAAAGCACAGGCTGCGAGAAGGTCAGTCTGAAGCTTGGACTTTGTTCTTGCTCCTTCTGCCAAGTCACTTTACCAGGGAAAAGAATTCACATTTAATGACTACAGATGCTCCATTTCTCAGTTTTGGGCCCCATGATTAGAATAAACATTCCCCAGTGAAGGTTCTTTCCAACCCACCTGCTCTGTCCCTATCTTAACCAGAAGCAGAGACTCCACTTAGAAGTAATGGTGGCATTGGAGGGGGAAGATGGAGGGATGGAGATGACCCAAGACCAGGGAGCCTGGACACTTCGGGGCGGCTGGTGGCTGTCTTTTCCAACCGGGGAGCCCCTCGCTTTCCTCTTCCACCCTGGCTCCTGTTGTGATTGGGCTGCTCCTGGGGCAGCTGGCCATTTCCCTGCTAACCTCCAGTTAATTGCATTTTTTTTTTCTCAAGAAAGTGATGTACAGCTGAAGGTGCTCTGGAATGCTCTAATGAGCTACATTCTCAGTCCTGATGAAATGAAGTAATTATGGGAAAGCCCTTGATAATGGCGATGCACCATGTGGACACTGGTCTTTCAGTTAATCATGGCATAACTCTGGAGCTTACTGGGAGGAGAAACAAAAAAAGAAATACAACGTATGCAGACTTTTGTTTGCATGTTGGTGGAAGCATCCTCTGGGATAAGCGAGGGCAAGCCCTAGTACACACTTACTTTTGCAGGTGCCTCTGTGTCATGTAAGCTAATGTGTCATTGGAGAGAGCCAGTGGCAGAGCCAAGCCCCAGGTCAAGAGATAGACCCCACCTCTTGATGGGGACAATTGCAAGGAATTGTGGCCCTTCTGTTTTTTATTGTTTTTGTTTTTGTAATCTAGCACACTAACCTGTTGCTATGGACTGAATTTAATTAGTTTTTTGAAAACCTACCCTCAGTGTGATGGCATTTGGAGATGGGGCCTTTGGAAGGTAATTGGGTTTAGCTGAGGTCATGAGGGTGGGGTCCTGCGATGGAATTAGTGCCTCTAGAAGAAGAGACACCAGAGAGTTTGCAGTCTCTCTGTCTGCCATGTGAGGACACAGCAAGAAAGTGGCCTTCAACAAGCCAGGAAGAGGGTCCTCACCAAACCCTGACCACTCTGGCACCCTAATCTTGGACTTCCAGCCTCCAGAACTGCGAGAAAATAAATGTCTGTTGTTTGAGCCACCCAATCTGTGGCATTTTGTTAAGGCAGTCCTAGCAGACACAGTCTCATCTATAAACAAATATAGTGCGTCAGGTGGTACAGAGGCGGCAAATACAGTGGCACAGCTGGGCTAAGTCAAGAAGGCTTCAGAGGAGAGTTTAATCTGCTCCTGAGGTATGAGGTGGAGGTGGCCGGGTAGAGAAGAGGTGGGGGAGCTTTCCAGGCAGAGGTCACAGCATATGCAAAGGGTAGGACGAATGAAATATCTTATGACTGTTGCTCTTAATTTTGGCAAAAGCTTCAAACTTCAGAGCCATCTTTAAGAGATTAATTTACCACTGCTGTGGGGTATTATATTTGAGATATAGGTTAGGTTTCTGTTTGGTGCCCATGACTTTGCTGGCAGAATTGGAAATGGAAAACCCAAAGAGAATTTAATTTAAAAGCCTGTTTAAAAGAGTGAAAATGGAACCAGTTTTCTCCCTGCGCTGGACAGTGTTACTGTAAAGTGTCCTCTCTTTATATTGCTCTGAAACAACAACAGAATGAAGAGTTCATTT